ATCGTGACTTAAGTCCGGTGATGTCATCTTATTGTGACTTAAGTACGGCGATGTCATCGTATCGTGACTTAAGTACGGCGATGTCATCTTATTGTGACTTAAGTACGGCGATGTCATCACATCCTGACTTAAGTACGGCGATGTCATCACATCCTGACTTAAGTACGGCGATGTCATCGCATCGTGACTTAAGTCCGGTGATGTCATCGCATCGTGACTTAAGTACGGCGATGTCATCGTATCGTGACTTAAGTACGGCGATGTCATCGCATCGTGACTTAAGTACGGCGATGTCATCGTATCGTGACTTAAGTACGGCGATGTCATCGTATCGTGACTTAAGTACGGCGATGTCATCACATCCTGACTTAAGTACGGCGATGTCATCGTATCGTGACTTAAGTCCGGTGATGTCATCGCATCGTGACTTAAGTACGGCGATGTCATCGTATCGTGACTTAAGTACGGCGATGTCATCGCATCGTGACTTAAGTACGGCGATGTCATCGTATCGTGACTTAAGTACGGCGATGTCATCGTATCGTGACTTAAGTACGGCGATGTCATCGTATCGTGACTTAAGTACGGCGATGTCATCGTATCGTGACTTAAGTACGGCGATGTCATCGCATCGTGACTTATGTACGCCGATGTCAGCGCATCGTGACTTAAGTACGCCGATGTCATCGTATCGTGACTTAAGTACGGCGATGTCATCGCATCGTGACTTAAGTACGGCGATGTCATCGTATCGTGACTTAAGTACGGCGATGTCATCTTATCGTGACTTAAGTACGCCGATGTCATCGTATCGTGACTTAAGTACGGCGATGTCATCGTATCGTGACTTAAGTACGGCGATGTCATCGCATCGTGACTTAAGTACGGCGATGTCATCGTATCGTGACTTAAGTACGGCGATGTCATCTTATCGTGACTTAAGTACGGCGATGTCATCGTATCGTGACTTAAGTACGGCGATGTCATCTTATCGTGACTTAAGTACGGCGATGTCATCGCATCGTGACTTAAGTACGGCGATGTCATCGTATCGTGACTTAAGTCCGGTGATGTCATCGTATCGTGACTTAAGTACGCCGATGTCATCGTATCGTGACTTAAGTACGGTGATGTCATCGCATCGTGACTTAAGTACGGCGATGTCATCGTATCGTGACTTAAGTACGGTGATGTCATCACATCCTGACTTAAGTACGGCGATGTCATCGTATCGTGACTTAAGTACGGTGATGTCATCACATCCTGACTTAAGTACGGCGATGTCATCACATCCTGAATTAAGTACGGCGATGTCATCACATCCCGACTTAAGTACGAAGAGGTCATCTTATCGTGACTTAAGTCCGGTGATGTCATCGCATCGTGACTTAAATACGGCGATGTCATCGTATCGTGACTAAAGTACGGCGATGTCATCGTATCGTGACTTAAGTACGGCGATGTCACAATCACTAATCACATTACTTAGTGGATCAATATTTGTATTCTTCCGTTTTTCAAGTGAAATCAGTAAAAAAGAGAATAAACAGTGTCAACACAAACGATGTCGTCAGGTGCAAACAGAAAAGACACCGAGGTGGAAACATAATGTGGGTCGAAGGTCATCACCAGTGAGGAGGACGAGAGACGAAAGGAGGAGGCAGAGGAGGTGACAGTACTGGGTTAGTCCACCGCGGCTGGATGAGGAGTGACAGCGAAGGAGGAGAAACACTGAGGAGCCGTCAGAGTGGAGACGGTTCACCGCTAGAAGGTCATCAGCCGAGAGAGGAGCGAGGAGAATGATGGACGGAGGTGGAGAGCAGGAGAGAGGAGAGAGGAGGCGGAAGAGGAAGAGGAGGCCACGCTGTCGGGTCGATTTGCCTCTCAAAGTAAAAGGAGAAAAAGGGTGAGATTTTGAGGGAGTGGAGAGGTGATCAGGTTAGCTTTGAGGTGAGGAGATGTGACGGTGAGGAGGAGGAGCATCGTGCAGAGGAACATGAAAGATGTAAGAGCGGAGCTGCAGGAGGAAACATTGCTTCATTTTAGCAGAGAAGTGCAGCTTGAAACAGCAGCAGCAGCCGAAGGAAACAAGGAGACAGAGGAGCCGTCTCGTCCTCGCTGCAGACTTGAATTAAAGTGGTTCAAACCAGAGAAGATGTTCCCTCTGAAAAGGTGAAGGATCCTTTTTACTTTTAGGGTTCTCTGTGTTTAGAAGTTTCCTCCAATCTGCCAACGTGCAGAAGTCTCCTGTGATGAAGCAGGAGGCGGGGCTTCAATGGACTCCTGCAGTAGCTTCGCCGTCTCCATCCTCTGATCGACATGCTCATTTTGCATCTCTTCTTCTTCTTAGCGGGAGAGGAAAATGTCGACGTCCAGGAGTTATGAAGTTATGAAGTGACGTTTCAGTGCTTCAGGTAGTTGAAGACGAGGAGCGACGAAGGCTCTCGTGTTGGAACCTCCGGTTCACAACATTAAGTCAGAGCTTCATGACTTTAAGTTCTCAAAATGGATTTAGAGCTAAATCTCTATAGCGACCACCAGGGGGCGAGCGACCAACCACCTCCTCCTAATTACGTGTCGTCCTCTTGACACAGTTAATATATTTAACGTCAGCAAGCGCCTTCAAAACATTATACAATTGCCCACTACTTTCTGGACAGAGCGCACAACTACACCCCCACCGCCCCGTGTTTATCCGCCACACAAACATTGGAGGCTCGAAAGGTTGGAGGCCTTCAATGAGAAAATAACTCCATACGACCATAAAGCTGAGTGACAGCTCTATGATAGACCATAACGCAGGGTATGCTTTGGGGCGGGGCTACACGTTGATTGACAGGTGTAATATAAAAACTCAAAGTTCTGGTAAAAAAACAAGTTTTCCCTCGTTAAACACAGTAAAGCAACGAGACCTTTAGGAGTCAACTAGAGGAAATCATCACCTCCTCCCCTTCTCTCCTTCTCTCCTCTCCTCCCCTCCTCTCCTCCCTTCCACCCCTCCTCCCCTTCTCTCCTCCTCTCCTCCTCTCCTCCCCTCCTCAGCTTGATTACTCTACTTTAAATAACTTCTGATCTGGAGCGCGATTTTTAAAATATGATCCTCGTGTGAACAGCGCAGCCGATGACCGGTCGATTCCTCGTTATGTTTCTTCACAACGTGGCGGTTTCCTTTCGGACTGGTCAAGTTGTGCCGCAAACGGCGCTTCCGCGTGTGCATTTTCACGGCGAAAGCTTTAGCGCCAAAAGGATAAACATCGACTCTGACCTTTTTCGGCATCCAGGATTAAGGCGCAAATGCAGAGCTAAGAGGATTGGCAGTTTGAGGTTTAAGGTCCTACATTGTTGCCGCTGGCTTTCCAGGGAGAACGAGGTGGAGGAGGTTAAAAACGAAGGCCCCAAAGAGATGACCCTGGACGAGTGGAAGGCCATGCAGGACAAGGAGCGCACCAAGGTGGAGTTCAACATCCGTAAGCCCAACGAGGGAGCCGACAGCCAGTGGAAGAAAGGATACGTGCTGCACAAGTCCAAGAGTGAAGATGTAAGTGTGGCGATTAATAATGTAACGTGACGCTCTCCCGACCCGGACAGCGAAAGCTATTATTAGCCTGACCCGGACACTGGTAATTTGACGCTGTTTCCGTTTAGTTTTTTTGGGGTCGATCGCTCGCAAA